CTTTTCTGCACTGCCCGTCAATAAGCTGATGTCATGAACCTTCCAATGCAGCAGACGTTCCTGCACTGCACTGGGCAGAAGTCCCATTCCATTGCAAAGAGAAAGCGTGGATCCCGGCAGCTGGCCTCGGTCCCTCCCAGACCCCTCGTAGGAGGGATGAAGGACCGGCCGATGAGGCTCAAGCGGCAGAAGTTGGAAGGCGCTTCTCCCAGGCTTCCCTCTTTGGTCTTTAGCTGGTCGTGGTGGGCTCAGGTATCTCGTCATACCATAAAACTGATGTGAGAACAAAATCGGTGGATGGGGTGGGGGCTCCCCAGAAGCTTCAAAAATGTATGGTGGGTCCAGGCAGCGACCATCTTCCTCCACTGCTCCCCTTTATTATGTTTCTCCACTTTAGCTGGAAAAGGCCAGGTAAAAAAAATGCAATATACGAGGTTTAAAAAATATATGGACCAGTCTAAGCATCTCTTTGGGAATCAGAGCTTTCTGATGTATGATTTCATGATTGTGCATTTGACTGAGTCTGTGACAGCAGTCCTGTGTGTTTAGTCTGAACAGAGATGGAGAAAGTTTAACCCAACTTTTTATTTCTTTCTTTTCTTTTCTCCTTTTTGTCTGTCTATCTTAGTTTTCTTTTCTTTCTTTCTTTCTTTCTTTCTTTCTTTCTTTCTTTCTTTCTTTCTTTCTTTCTTTCTTTCTTTCTTTCTTTCTTTCTTTCTTTTCAGTGGGATTTATTCCTGAACATGTCACTCCACAGTGCACATTTAAGAATCTCAGTTATGATGTATTTAATTTGAAGCTTTCATTCAAGCTATCCCTTAAATTAAAACTAGCAAAATAATTCATGCTATGTTCTTGATTCAGAGGGAGGGAGGGAGGGAGGTCAAAACAAACCAACTACTGTAGTTCCAAATTTACCCCAGCCCCACCCAAAATCATTCCCTGCCCCTTTTTTATTTTTATTTTTGGTGAGAACTCTGCAGTCAAAATGTCTGTGCCATTCCTGTCCTGTCCCAGACAACACAGGCTGGTTTTAAAAGAGTGTTTCTGTGCATGTATATACATGGGTCTGTGTATGTCTATATAATGTAATACACAATTTTGTGTGTGTGCACATGTCAATGAATCTAGTCCATTTAAAAACCATATGCTTTAACAAGGTGGCGTTTGCCCTAAATATTCAAGACAGGAGATGTTTGATGGTCTAATCATTTGTCCACAGAAGACCCAAGTCCCTGTGGTTCAAAAAGGGGAAATCTAGAACCGGGCGGTGGAGAAGCATGTTGGGAAGGTGCTGAGAACTCTGGGCAGAATACAAAGAGTACGGAAAGAGGAGGAGGAGAGAAGGCGAGGTTTTAGGAGGAAAAAGAAGAAGGGGTTGGATATCGGAAGGCTTCAGGGAAGGGCAAGACCTGTTTAAGGAAACATTTCCTCCTCTGGATGGATTTGGATGGGGACTGAATGATGGCCATCGCTTCATGAACCTTGCCACTGTCTTCTGTGTTGCAGGTCCAGTGGGGTTGGACTAGATCACCTTTAAGGCCCCCTTTCAGATTTAAATTCCCCTGGCATTCCAAGAGGAAACAGGAGGGGAAAAAAGGAAAGTGGTGTATTTAATGCCGTTGCCTTGCCTAATTGCAGAAATAGGTACTGGGCTGCAAATTCAGCCTTCTTAAAAAACTTCATTTCCCCCCCATTGTTGGAAAGATAAAGTTTCTAGTCCCTAAGGGTTATGGCAAAGCAAACCCTGCAACCGACCCAAAGCATTCCGAAGACCCTGGCTTTCCTTTTAAGGAAAAGAAAGTAAAACTTAAGTTTTTAGCCCTTCAGGCGATGGTCAATCGCTGGAAGCCAGGATGAAATTGAACAAAATTCTCAGCTAGTAGATTGAGCTTAAATGATTTTTTTACTTCTGCCCATAACTAGCAATAAACTATCAACCTATGATTAAGAATCAGGAGCCTAGCCCATGATTTCCTGTGACAATTCAAAATTCATACTCCTTAAATTTAAATTTTTTCAATATTTCTTTTATTGACAGGGTCTGAATCTTCCTTCTGGATTCGACCATGGAGGTAAGTTCTTTGTAAAGGTTTTTGTTGGTGGTGCCTTGTGGGGGGGGGGCGTGGAATGGCAGAAAGTGGCAGAAAACCTCGTTTACCTGCCAAACATCCCAGGTCTGATTCTCATCCTCCAGTGTTTTTTTAAAAAGAGCAATTTTAACAGGCGATGAGAAATAAGTGCATTTGCCTCCTGCACCAGATTCTGAGAGATGGCAAGAAAAGTTGGAGAAGGCCACCGGGCCAGCTGGCTGCGGTCAATTATGTTCTCCTTTGCCTGAGACGGTCAAATATCTTGGGTCAGCCCCCGGGAACGACCAGACCGTGGACCGCTTGCTCAGAGGGCTCTCCGGAAGGCGGATCAGCCTCACGTTACTGGGAAATTCCATGGGGTTCCGTGGTTTCTAGGGAAACAACCAGCATCCTCTGGTTGGCCGCCATCTTGCTGGCGGGCCACCTCCTTGCCCAACGCAATCATGTCTTCAAAATTACAGGTAAAACGAGAGGGGCCATCTTCTGTAAAACAGGGCTGAAGGTCACCCGAGCTTCCCCTTAAGAGCTAAACGAAAGTTTTTTTCTCAACTCAGAGCAAATCTTGCTTAGCCCAACTCACTGAGCCATAAATCCAGGCACAGGCACAGCTTTTGCATCTCTCAGCTTGTTACTGCTTAGATGAGGCCGCCTCAGATATACTGCTGCCTGAGGCAGAGAAGCAAAGCCACCTGTCTAGTCCTCCCGTGTCAATGGCCGTCGCCTCCAAGGCCAGCTGAATGACTTTTGGCAACGGAGAACAAAACCAAAAAGAACCCTCTCCTTGGGAATCCAAAGGTTGCAATGGAAACCAACCAAACGGCTAGCGGTCCCGTTCTGTTTCATGGCAGGGACGGCCCTTTGTCTTTCTCATCCCTTCTCATCCCGCCCCTGCTGTACAGCATGACTTTTGTGTGTCTCCTTCTCGCCTCACAGTTAGAGCCACCGGAGAGAAGCAGGAGCCAACGGCGGACTCGCCCGATCATGTACCGCTTCCTCTGGCGAATCCGCGAAGAGTGGAAACTTCTGGGCTTCTTTGAGATCAATCATGATCACGAGTCCTACCAGCTCAGCTGCATGCTCAAAGAGGGGCTCAAGACCTCCATCCAGCATGCGATCGATCACCCAGTGACCACGGTGAGCCTCGGCTTTGCGTGGGGCTGATTTGCCTTTGCCACTTGTAAGAGAAAAGACTGGGTAATTAAGTCACATCGCCTTTTTTTTCGGATTAGCCCTTTTTTTAAAAAAATAACGGCCTAGGTTACATCCCAAAAGGGAATATTATAGGTGTGCTTAGCAAGTTCTACTGATTTACTGGCGCAATGTTTTCTTGTAACAGGAAATGATGGTGAAGTTGCCTTTTAGACACCATTAACGTATAATTCCTGCCAACTTAGCAGTTCAAAAGCATGCAGATACGATTAGATAAATAGGTACCACCTCGATGGGAAGGTAACGGCGTTCCATGTCTAGTCGCGCTGGCCACGTGACCACGGAAACTGTCTTCGGACAAACGCTGGCTCTGGCTTGGAGACGGGGATGAGCACCGCCCCCTAGAGTCAGACACGACTGGACTAAATGTCAAGGGGAACCTAACGTATAATTCATGGCATTATGCACTTTCAAGACACTCCTTTCTCCATCTCCCTACCAGCAGGCCAGAGACAACACGGAAACACACTCTCTGGTTCCCCCTAGTGGCCCATTTTGATACTGCGCCTCAGAAATATTTCCAAAAGTTTGAAAGACAAAACCAAAGAATACTTCCTTCACTACTTAAGACTGACAAGAGGAAGACAGAAAACTGCTCTTCAAATGCTTTTAAAATGCTTAAGATGCCCTTGAAACAGAAAATGTTATTCAAAAGTAACATTCTCACTTTTAACGGACCAATAAAAAGTATCACACATCCTTACGTTTGTGTAATCTTGGGGGGACGCTGTCTTATCCTTGTTCATTTTCACTTTTGTTACAGTACTTCTACTTTAACTCTGTAATTCAAATGAGTTACCCCAAAAGGAACTAGTTACAGGGAAGTACATTATCCTAATGAGTTACTTCCACATTTCTCTAACAAAGAATCGCAGTTAATTACTTTTCAAGCTCGGTGCACTGACTACATGTAAGAAAGGCATTACCTGAACGACCACCAGGATTTTTTTGAAGAGTTTCTTGAAAATGATGGTGGGTTGGATCTGATAATACTGCCTTTTTCTGCTTCCTATGTTCTCTCTTTCTCTCTGTGCCAGGATCTACGAAGTGAGTCAGAATTTACTGCAGTGCATAAGCATATCCACGAGGTAGGAGCAAGCACGGAGGTGATTGTAAGGAAGCCAAGAGAGGCCTTAAACCTTGCCATCATGTAACACTCCCAGATTTGTAATTCTTGACGGGGCTTTTCGCTGATTTTAATGGTGTGATGTTGGTTAAATAATCATCTTTCCCCGAGGGAATACATCATAGCTGAGGGATAAGCCTCTTTCCAACAGCTATTTTCAGAATTTTGAGAAGGTACTCTTTTTTTAAAAAGCCACAAACTCTCCCTCCCAGAATCTGGGCAGTTCTAACTGGAGGATCCTGTAAGTCCATCAAAAAGAAACTTTTCTTAGCTCAACTTTGGCACAGAAGGGGATTTAAACTGGGAATCCGTCCGACCTTCCTTTTAACTTTTCTTCTGTGTCAAAGAGGCTTTTTTTAAAAAATTGTTCATTTTAGTTGCCCTTCTGTACATTCTAAAACCCTAAAAACCCTGTAAATTCAACCAAGTCAACCTTCCCTGTATTTTTCACTGCAGGGCTTCGAAATGAGGACTTACGCAGGCCCCATTTTCGCACGGTTTCGGCAATTCCTGGGCCTGGTGGATCTCGAGTACCAAAAAGCTCTCTCTTGCGAAGCCTTCTACCTGCAGTTCATCAGTAATTCGAAGAGCAACGCTGACTTCTTCCTGACGTAAGAGAAACACCCACACCATTAACTAAGAGCTCTTCATTGTGGGCAGCATCCAGACCATCGACCAGGAAAAAGGGGCACAAAGAAGCACAGCTTCTGAACTGGCTTTAAACATCTCTGGAGTTTAAAAACAGTTCTTGTAATGTAAACAGGAATACAGCATCAGGACGGCTTTGGCCATTTGTGGGGTTTATTTTTAAATCAAGTTTCTAGACCTCATTGTTAGCAACTTAGATCTCTCTGCCCCGGTTTGGCTTCTTGGTGCATTGTTAGCAACTTAGATCTCTCTGCCCCAGTCTGGCTTCAGCAGCAGATCAAGGATGCTGTGGAGACGCATCAGCTTTCTTTCAAAGGAGCTTTGAAATCAGAAATGGGATGTTCACGTGTCAGGTGAATTTACTCTCCGCTTCCCTCCCCCTCTTATTTCTCCAGCAGCAGCACATCCTATAGAGGGCAAGTCACCGGGCCCATAGCCCTGTTCACCTGTTCTCCAGGTGTGCTTCCTACCTGTAAATGGGCACCTCTAAGGTTCCCGGACCATCTTTTTAAAAAATCCTTTGTTGTAGATAAGACTTGGGTGGCTCTTTGAGCAGAGAAATGTCCTCTGAAAAACGGCCACCCTCGAGGCTTTCACGACCCGCAACAGAACCCTTGGAATTTGGCCACGGCAAGTCATGCCAGAAGGCAAAACAGGTCTCAGTAGGGTGGCCACACGTCTCTTTTTTTAGGGAGCGCCAAGAGGGAGGCATTTTTGATTCCGCTTCAGTGACGACAATCTTTTGTGCACCTAAATTAAATTAAATTACATCAGCACCCCCTTTGGTCCCCCTCCCTTTTTTTTAAACTTGGCAGTGCCTGCCAGGCCACCTTTACTGGGGACTCCCCTTTCAAAAAGTGGTAACCTCCAGCCCCTGTTTTTCTCAGCAGCAACGACAAACGCTTCTTCCTCAAGACGCAGAGAAAGCGGGAGATCCGTTTCCTGCTGGCGAACCTGCAGAAGTATCTCAAGCACATGGAGCGATACCCCCACTCCATCCTCGTCAAGTTCCTCGGTAAGGTGCCGGCCCTGTTACGGAAGGCTGAGCTAGAGCCCGTGTGACTACAGTTCCCACAATCCACCTTTGCCCCTGCTGGCTGGGGATTCTGGACAATGTCATCCCAAAAAGTCACTTTTGTCACACTCTGAACAAAAAGCGGCCTCAGTGACATCAAAAATTAATCCATGGCATTTCTACGTAATCTCGCAATTACAAATCTGGAGTTATTACCTTGGAAACTGAGGCACTTTGTTGTTTCAGGAAGCGGATTCAGCGATAATGCAGGAGAAAAGATCCCTAACTTAGTTACAGAAGCCCCTAGAACTAGCTGCCATGCATGGCAAGTCTGTTGGGAACCCTTAAGGCCACGCCGTGTATAGCTACCTTTCTCTAATGAAGGAGAGCAGCAAAAACTCAACTTTTGGAAATGGAGGAGGAAGGAAGTGGGCCTGAGAATTACAATCCGCATATCAACAAGTGATTCCTTAGAAAAGTAAGGGAGAAGGGTCCCTCTGGTTCCAGTTTTTTTTACTTGCATGTTATTGCTTCATTTCCGACACACCAACCTTCTCGTGTTCTTTTTTCCAACAGGGGTTCACAGCATTATTGTTCCCCAAGAGAAGAAGGTAAGCTCCCCCATAACCTTCTGCCAGCAGTAATTATAAGAGGGTGTCCCCTAAAAACTGTTGCTCTGTATTAACATCCCCTAAACAGCCCTTCCCTGACCTGTCACCCTCTGGGCCTGTTGGATCACATCTCCTATCATCCACAGCCAGACAGCCAATACCTTTGCAAACCCGGTACAGTACCTGAAAGGTACCTCTTCCACGGCGGCCGAGTCCCGCCCCCTGCAGGTCACTCCACCGTTCCACGGGGACTGGCTGGCGGCTGGCAAAAAAGCCGCAGGTATTCCGAACAGGTCTTCTTAACTTTGGACCTGATCCGCTGCTGTTTCTCTGCTTGTTTGCCTAGAAATACTTCATCATCATGCAGAGCGTCTTTTATCCTCATGAGAGGATTGTGGAGCGGTGAGTCTCTTTAGCTTGTTTTTAGTGGCACCGTTAGAGCGAGGAGGGGGCATGGCTTAGGGAGATGCGCCCTTGCTTTCTACACAGATTCAAAGTTCAAGCCCCAGTTACTCCAGATAAGTCAAGGAAAGGATCCTTCTTCCTGAACCTTTCGAAGGCCCACAGCTGCTCATTAGATTTGATAAAATTGGGCTAGATGGATTCGTGGACCGGTTTCCATCTTCTCTCCGCTTTGCAGCTGTAAGCTCTTTAAGTCTACGTAGGTGGATGACGAGCACAGATCCGGCCGGAGAAGGTCTGAAACGAGTCGCCCATTTTTATCGATTTCATTGGTTTGTTTGAAAGACACACACCGCTGTCTTTTGCCAGGAGGCATGAGAATCCAAGGCAATTTGCATTTACTACGACTTCCCATCGTTAATCGCTGCATGTATTTCAAGGGGCCATGAGATCCCAGCACCGCCCAGTTTTATCTTCTGAACAGCCCTGCGAGGTAGGGGAGCCTGGAAAAGAGAGCGCTTTGCAGCTCAGCGGGGAGAAAACCCTCTCGTTTTTCGGCTCGCGCAGGTACGATATTAAAGGTTGCGAGGTTGACCGGTGGGCGGATCCGGCGCCGGACGGCAGCGAAGTGATCGTTGTCTTCAAGGATCTCAATTTTGGACAGAACGTCATCTGCCTTGGTATGTCCCGCTGTGATGACGGAAAGGGCCCTGTTTTACCTTCCATCTCAAAATGTGCTTCGTTTCCTCCTCCTTTCTCCTCTCCCTTTCCAACTCATTTTATTTAGATCTCTTGTCTGCATTGGAAAAGGACCTATTCGTTTTATTCCACACACTCACCTCGTATAGGTCAGCCAGTATTATACAGTAAATAAAAAAACAATGACGAAATTTCCCCGCCCGCAGGAAACTAGCTCTTCAAGCCCAGCTTTCACCCTGACAAGCTAAGTTTCTATGAACGGAGATTTTAAAATTATTTTTCAGAGCTTTCTGTTCTATGATCCCATGCTTGCCATCTGTCGTACAGCACTATCTAGTCGACATGACCGCTTTAAATGCCCAGACTTTAAAATAACAATTTTTAGGCTTGGCTCCACCCCCTGCACTAGCAATGCTGAGAAACAAGGCATGTTATTTATGGTAAAAAAAACTGTGGTTAAATATTATTCCTTACCAACAATCTGCAGCATGGAACAGCCCAGCTGCAATTCCAAGGACCAAATCAAAAACAAGAGATATTTTTCCACTGTACTTTTACCCCTCCCCTCCCAACGATGCACCTTTTTTCCCCTCTCCACGCAGAGCAGCAGCGCGACTGGCTGGTCCAACAGGTAGAGGTGGACACGGACTTCCTGAAGGAGCTACACGTGATTGATTACAGTTTTCTGGTTGGGTTGCAGCCACTCCATGAAGATGAACAGCTCCTCAACAAGGCCTTAGCCAACATCATCACCAGGACTACCATGTATGGATTTCCCCTCCCTCCCCGATGCCTTGGTTTGGGGACGGGGCGGCGCGAGCGGGGGAAACACAGCATTGAACAGCTGGCTAGCTCAGTGGGTTTGGGCCTCTGGCCGTGGAGCCAGAGGTTGGGAGTTCGATTCCCCCCACTGGACCTCCTTTGAAAGGGCTGGACTGGATGGTCTCTGGAGTCCCTTCTAGCTCTGCTGTTCTATGAGGAGGATGACAAGAATTGATAGATAGTCCCCGGATGCTGGCTTTCGGCTTTTTAGCTTTTCTGCATTTGTTTTTACTGTTTTAAATATTTCTAACTGATCAATGGATTTTTTTAAAAAAATCATTGACATACAGTAGTTTAATTGCTTTTTTAATCTGTTCTTTACTGTGTTTTTAGCTGTACTCGTTTTAACATTGTGAGCAACCTTGGGTCCCCTTATCGGAAGAAAGGCAGCCTAGAACGGACACAAAATGAATAAATTAAATCGACAGATATTCTTTTCTCCCGCCCTTTTCCAACCAATCCCTTCTCTGTGTTTTGTGCAAATGCAAAATAACAAGAAGGGCTTTTATAATAATAATAATAATAATAATAACAACAACAACAACAACGACAACAACGACAACAACAACAACAACCATGTGCCATCAAGTCAATTCTGAGTCCTTGCAACCCTGTGCAAGGGGTTTGCAGGTAGTGTTTTGCAGGTAGAGAATACTCAGAAGTGATTTCCCATCCCTGTCCACTAGGGGGCAGTCCCGGGACCGCCATGCAGCTGGCCCAAGGCTACCCAGGCTGGCTGTTCTCCCAGGAGGCCCCGTGGAGGGAATCAAACTCCCAGCTTCTGGCTCCCCAGCCAGAGACCTCAACCACTGAGCTCTCCAGCCAGCTATTTAAAAAAAAATCTTTCTTTGGACTTGCAGGCTTTCATTTCCCCCCCCCCAGCCCCCAAAAAGTGCTTTACAGTTTTCCTGGTTTCTTCCCCATAGGTCGCTCTGCTGCCCCAGCTGCCCCTCAAGCACGGCGACAGCACAGTTGGACGACACCGAAGGCACAGCCCACATCGCCACCTACGCGAACCAGGTTATCTCCAGCGCGGACCCCCAGAGCAAGCTGTCCCCCGAAAGCAAAGCCACCCTGCAGAACATTCTGGAGCTTTACCTAAAGCATCGGCCCAGCACCGAGATTGACCTGGAGACGTCCGCCCACAGCGAGACCTTCATGAGGGACGTCCTGGCCCCTTACCTCTTCCGAGGGAGCAGCTTCGAGGAGGTCCCCAGCTCCTTCGGCGACGTCGACGGCGCCGAGCGCAGCCACATCATCCGCGGGCCCAGCCTGGTGGACTCCTCGTTCCTTTTAAGCCAGAACCGGCGCCTTCTCCCGGGCTCCCGGAACCCTCTGCACGTGATCGACGGGCCGGATTACCGCTATTTTGTGGGCATTATTGACTTCTTCACGGTCTACGGCTGCCGTAAGAAGCTGGAACACCTTTGGAAAAGCATCCGGTATCGGGGGAGAAGCTTCTCCACGGTTCACCCTGCCTGTTACGCCAGGAGACTTTGCAAGTGGGTGGAGGATCACACCACATGAGCCTGGGGGAAAAGAGCAGAGAGGATGGGTGACAAGGGAAACGCCTTCGGTTCGTTTTCCCAGGGTCCCCGGAACCTTTTTATCCCAGGGCACCCGCTTGAGTCCCAGAAAGAGAAAAGCAACTGACCGTAAACCAAGGTCAACACGGATGAACTCAGATTCCTTCTCCGAGCTGCGGAGAACTGCTCTGATGCTGGAAGACTGGTTCAAAACACAGTGGCACAGAGTTCCACAGGATCTGGCATGGGGTTTTCGGAGGGGGCGGAAGGGGTCTGATCGGAGGCAGCGCTTCTGCACACAATGGCTGGAAATTGGTGCAGAATTTTGACACTTCTGAATACGAGTGCCATGTTCTGGAGTCCCAGCGATAACCATCAGAATTTGGACATTAAAACGGGAAAAATAAACCCTTTCTTGAGCTCTCCTAACAATACCGGACCCTTTCAAAAAAGGGTAGGTGTGCTGCTCCGATCCATCCTTTTGCCTCCATGATCATGGGTTAATCCTACAGAGGTCCAAAGGAGGCCAAGAATAAATGAAAAATGAAGGAAGAGGTGACATCAAAAAGGGCCCCATCCACGGTGGTATCAAAGCACGAAGCCGATGTTATTCTCCATTTAAAGAATAAAACCACTCTTGAGAAATGTCTTGCTGTGGTTAATTTAAAAAAAAAATCTGTGTCATTCTAATCTAATACATTCTTACTGGGAACATACATAATAAGCAACTGTGAAGGGCAAACCTCTATATAAAACAGTTTTATAGAATAACTCAATTTTGTGGTGACTTCCCCCCCCAATAATGGTATCAACTCTCCTGTATTTTTCAAAACAAACACAAATCCAAACCGCACCGTGCCGTTTTCCTAGAAGGCCAGGAAAAAAATTAAACAGGTTAGCCGCTGTCCACCAGAAGAAGGATCTAAATTTTCCCGTTCAGGATCGGGGACTACCTAATTCAGCGTTGGTTTCCCGCAACGGTCGGTCTGCCGTCCCTCTACTACAATCTCCAGCCACCGCAGTATTTATTTTATGTGTTTAATTGTATTTATACCTGGCCTGAAGGCAGCACACGCAGAGCTTCACCACAGCCCTGCGGGGTAGGCCGTGCTGAGGGTGAGGGACTGGCTCAAGGTTACTGAACGAGATCAGTCTTGATAGTTTATAACCATAACAACTAGTGTTTATTTTATATATTTAGTTATCTTTGCACCCCTCTCAGCTCAAGGGGGCACCCACTGGCTCTATCAGAACTTGAACCCGGATCTCTCAGTCCAACATTCTAACTGCACCACACAGGGGCCAGTCTCCTGCCCTCCATGGAAGGGGGTGACTGTCCCCTTCTGTGGGATCAGTGCCGAATTGAAGGCCGACACCAGGAGGGGCTCCTCCACGAGGTCTCCTGGAGTGTTGCCCCCACCCAGAACTCCATCTGGCCCCCTCTTCGTCTCCATGTTCATCCTGTGGCGAGGATATGTGACCCCCTGAGTCCTCTGTGGGTCCCATGGGGAAAATGTCTATGAAAAGAAACACTCCTTTTTTGATGGAGCTCTCCAGCCAGCTATTTATGGGATCTGATGGTAGTTGTGGGTTTTTCGGGCTCTTTGGCTGTGTTCTGAAGGTTGTTCTTCCTGATGTTTCGCCAGTCTCTGTGGCCGGCATCTTCAGAGGACTGGAGTGGGAACTCTGTCCATGCTCTGTTGCTGTTTGTTGGATAGTTGAGTATTTATAGCTGTGGGAACAGCTTTTGTCCTTTTCAGGAGATAGGGTGAGCAGCGTGTTTTTGTTGTGATAAGGGGGAGAGATTATCTGTCACTGTGATTGATGGGTGTCTTTAGCTGGTCTTTTTTTGTGCACTGACCCCTGGTCCTTGTGGCTGGGGAGAGTTCGTTGACCTTTTGCAGGCTGCATTTTCCAGCACTGGGAGCCAGGGCTTATTAAGTTTTAGAATTTCCTCTTTTTTTGTTGAAGCTCTGTTGGTGTTTATGGATTTCAATGGTTTCCCTGTGCAGTCTAACATCATGCTTGCTGGTGTTGTCCAGTACTTCCGTATTTTGAAATAGAATTTCATGTCCAGCTTGTTTTAGGGCATGTTCAGCTACTGCTGATTTTTCTGGTGGTTTTAGTCTGCAGTGTCTCTCATGTTCTGATTACCATCATCCTCCTATCTCCTGAAAAGGACAAAAGCTGTTCCCACAGCTATAAATACTCAACTATCCAACAAACAGCAACAGAGCATGGACAGAGTTCCTACTCCAGTCCTCTGAGGCCACAGAGACTGGCGAAACGTCAGGAAGAACAACCTTCAGAACACGTCCAAAGAGCCCGAAAAACCCACAACAACCACTCCTTTTTTGCTTGGAGAGCCGCCTGCGGTCCTTGGGGTAGCCCAGCCATCACCTGTCCCGCTCTCTGCATAGGCCACCGAGCGCCTCTGGACTCAAGCCACTCCGCCGGCCGAGCCGAAGGGGTTTCCAGAGCCTGCAAGAGAAAACCGGCACCAACCACCGGGCCTTCTCAAATAACAGGGGAGGTATCAGATGCTAGAGGTCAAAGGGTGGGCCGGTGCCAGAAATAAGAGGCAAGGGTTGCCACAGGACACAAGCCCTGCGTTCAAGTAGGATTTCTACTGCAACTTTACGTTGCAGCAGAGCGTTGGAGAGGCCAGCCCCTCTGCACGGGCGCAGGGGCAGGGTGGTTTGGGGGAGAATTTGTCGCCTGAGATCCCTCCCATGGGGAGCCTGCAAGGTAAGGGTTGGGGGGGGGCGCTCAGAGCTTAGGAAAACTGCTCTTTTGGACTACAAGTCCCATTATGCCCAGCCTGGCGGGAGTCCAGTTCCCCAAGCGGCTGAAAACTTTGCAGCGCCTTTTCTACCGACCTGGCGGGGAGGGTGGCTTTTGCGCCTCGTCTTTCTCTTCCTCCTCCGCCGCCCCTCCTGCTTCCTCTTCCCTCGGCGACTCTGAGCGCCACACCTTCGCCCCCCTGGCCGTCCTTGGGGGACTACAACCCCCATTAACCCTTTCCCCCCCCCCCCCCCCGCCGACTGCGGCGTCTGGGAGCTGAGCGCCGCAGTCCGAACCGCTGTAGGTGCTGCGCCCTTGCCCTCCCCAAGCGGAGGTCTCGGGCTGGGGGGCTTTGCTGCCTCTCCGGGGTCCCGATCCCCTTCCTCGCCTTGCAGCCCAACCGGGCAAGCGCAGCCGACATCTCCTCCCAGTTCGGCCGAGCGGGCTGGGCTGGGCTGGGGCGCCTTGGCTGCCTGCCCTGCCCTCCGGGGCCGCCCCTTGGTGGCCACCCGGGTGGCGCCTCCGTGCGTAAAAACGCAAAGGCGCGCCGAGGGCGCAGCCAGCTGGCGAGAAACCGACCACGGGCCGCCTGCCTGCCCGCTCCGGGTCCGCTGGGGAGGCGGCGCTGACTCCCGTGGTCTCTCCCGGAGCCCCGTCCGGGAGGAGGAAGGGAGGAGCCCCACGGAAGGCGCCCGGCCGGCCGCCCCCCCTGCTTCCCTCGCCCGGGCCTGGCGAGCCGCTTTGCGCGCTTGGAGAGGCACCCGCCGTTACTGCTGCTGCCGGTGGGGCGGCGATGAGGTCCGGCAGGCAGCGGCTCCCGGGGCGGGGAGGGGGGTAGATAGGTGCCGGCCACGGCCTCTCCCCACGAGATCGGAGCCGGGGCTCCGGCTTTTCCCTCCTTCCCTGGGTAAGAAGGGCCGGCCGCGTCCCCTTGTCTGATCATTCAAGGAGGAAGCTACATTTATTTGGGGAGGGAGGGCGGCAAGGAGCCCGAGGGGGGGGAAGTCCTCCGCGCGCCCCCAACCCCGCCCTCAAGCCGGAACGAAGGGGCTTCTGGGCCTGTGCAGAGGGCCCGATCCCTCTGGGCCTGTGCAGAGGGCCCGCTCCCTTCCCCCCCCCGCTCCGGAGCCAGTTCCGATCCTTCCCCATTTCTCCACTTTTGGGGCGTGTTTTGTAAGTTTGTTTCTTTGCCAAGGTTTTGTAGGGTGTTCGGTGATAATTGCTATTTAGTGTCCGTGTGAAACTATCAATATAACAAATATAAACATCTTCAAAGTGGGGGAAAATTAGCCATCACTTCTCTGGGCCCTGTTGAGTGTTTTAATGATGGCTGTTCCTATTTAGCTCCTGTAAGCATATATATTTGTGTATAATAATACACAGCACAACGTGCAGTTGATTCTGAGTTATGGTGACCCCTTTTTCAGGGTTTTGCAGAAGTGGCGTCTGTTTCCCTTCTGCCAGACTCTGCCACTGGCCCAAGGTGGCCCAGGCTGGCTCTTTTCCTGGGATGAATCGAACCCCCAACCCTGGCTGTTTTTCTTAGAATTCAAACTCGCTTCCTGCCAGACTCTTACCAGCTTTGGCCTCACCCTTGTTTGGCTTGTGAGTCAACCAGCTTCGGAGTCCTGTGACCCTTGCGTGAGGAGCTTAACCAGTGAAAGAATGCAAGCGATGCAAAAAAAAAAAAAGAAAAGATGATAACAGCCAGCCCACATTCATCCTTCTGCCCGCTTCTGCCAGCACTATTTGGCCTTGCTGGGTTTTTTCCCCCAGCTGAAAATATGGATCAGCCAAGGCTTCTCTTGAGCTGGCTGGATGGCTCAGTGTTTTAGGGATCTGCCAGCGGAGACAGAAGTTGGGAGTTCGAATTCTCCCTCGCTGGGCCTCCTGGGAGAAGAGCCAGCCTGGGTAGCCTTGGGCCAGCTGCACCGTAGTCCCAGGACTGCCCCCCACAGGTAGAAGGGAAGGGTAAAGCATTTCTGAGTCTTCTGGAAAACCCAGAAAAAGGGTCGCCATAAGTCAGAATTGACTTGAGGGCAAATGATTATCATTAAGACCTCTGTTGAGACATCACTGAGGACCAGATGCTTGAGCCAACAATTTGATGATGATGATTTTCTCCCCAGGCTGTTGCTCCCAGAAGCCCAAAGTGGATCCATGACTAATCAGACTTTAAAAGGATGCAGATGCTGGTAAGGATCGCATGCCTGTGTAGAAAGGAAATTTACACCCGTAGGAGCTTTCGGTGTGCTATCTTTCCTTATGCTGGTACATCTCTAGAGGGTGATGTCCCTAAAAGATTTCCTTCCTTCCTTCCTTCCTTCCTTCCGTCGTTTCCTCCT